TAATGGAACTTTGTCGGCAGAAAATGGCTCCCCCCCTTACTAGGTCAAATACGTCAAAGGCGACAGGCAGGCCGAAACGTTCAGCCCCAAGGCAAAAGTAACGCAAAAAAGAAAAAGAAGAACAAATTATCTACGCGACTCAACAAAATATAAACGAAAATAATAATTTGGCACAGATGAAGGAGATGGGGGAATATTTTTGACCTTGTGGCAGAGCAAAAATAAATATTTTCAATATTTTGTTTCCCTAACAAAAATTAAAATATATTTTTGGCCAAAAAGTGCTGGACATGATTTATTTCCCTTCAGGAATCTTGCAAGTAAAAACTTTTCTAGACCTTCTCTCATCTTCCACAGTCTCATCTTTGCCATTGGAAATCTGAGCATAGCGGAAACCTCGTGCTTTGACCGCAGGTGTCTGATAATTTCTTTATGTTTATTCCATGCGGAAATTGGACAGACCAGGGACAGACACGTACACCTTTCTACACGACATTGACATAGATTTTAGCGCCGTTTTTTGCACAACAATACAATGAATAATTGTTGAATGGTCAACAAATTTGTGCTGGCAGTGCCCAGCAGCTCTAAATGTACAGGGTGGATTATTGATTTGGGGGAAATTTATGGGATTAATTGGAACAGGAAGCCAGGCATTTAAATATTAAAAGACGGCTACTATTAAATAAGGAAATATATATATAAATAATAGCCATTTATCTACAAAAAATGAACATGATCCTTGTCTAAAGCTAGACAAAGCTTTGTGAAAAGTGCAGCTTGTCCCCTATCTGAGTGCAGGGTAGTCCCATCTTCTTTAGCTTGGCCCCTAGCACGAATCAACTTCGATTGAGGCAGAGAGAGAGAGTGAGAGTATGAGTAATTGACAAGATATGTCTTGGCGCCTCTCCCACTCAGTCGCTCTCTCCCGGAAGTTCATATGTCGAGGTCATTGGAAATCCAAGAACCGGCGGCCTAAACTCATCAACGTTGCTGTTGCCGTTGCCCTACCCCTACCCCCACCCAGCTCCTGTTTCTTGTTCCCTTCAATTATTCTAAGTCGGTCAATGCCAGGCACGAGTCAAGTCAACATTTTGATATATGAATTGTGTTATTGTTGTATTTTTTTTTGGGGTTGGCCCTGCCTTGAAAGCGATTTAACCAACCGCATGAGGTAATCACACATACAAAGACACTTCCTCCTCATGGGTTCATATTTCCTGGCAGTGGATTTGCTATCGTTGTCTCCCTTCTTATCAGGTTCTTGCGATGACTCATGCGAGAGGGTCGGGCACGACGATCGGCTCGGGGTCGTTGCCTCTGCCAATACCAATTGCAGTAAATCTGTCAATTGGCTGCAAACACACACGCACACACATACCACACACCCTGTGGGGTGGGGGACCGCGCAGAGTTGAGTGAAACATTGTTCCAACATAAATTATGGCAAGCAATGGCACAAAAATGCGGAAAAGATTTGGCTGCAGCGGAAAGGAGAAGAAGGCAAAGAGGAGGGTGTGCAGAGCTCAAGTTATGGACACAGAGAGAGGCGAAGGGAGAGCAGTTGGGGTGGGGCAGTGGGGTAGAATAAAGACAGAGAAGGATTGGCGATGGAGTTGAAAAGGTACTTCAAAAAATCATAGGTTTGATCCGGAATTGTGTCTAAAATGCCAGTCAGCAGCTGCCCATTCAAGTGATTATTTTCATGAATATTTACATAAAAAGATACATTTATACATTCATACACGTTCTGCTCAACTAATTGACGGGCTGGACAATGCTGAAAATTAGTTTCTTTCCTCTGCTCTTTTTCATTCCGAAAACCGAAAACCGAGAATGAGCTCAGCTCATGGCTCCATGGCTGATGACTACATTTGACCAGCCATGGGACCCACCAGAACTTAATGAATTTTATTCTTTGCCTTTCATGAAAGTTATTTGAATATCGCAAATTGTTTTTTTTCGCAATAGACAGGCCAAAAATTTATATTCCATATGGCAAAAGAATTCTGGGAATGCCAGCAATAAACATTCCTTGATTTTGAAGCATGGGAAGTACAATTGTTTGATTTGAATGCACGGGGGAGTAGTTCTCTAGATACAATTAATTATAATATCAGAGAAATAAATTCAAGTAAAATATGCAATATGTTTAATAGTTTAAGCTTATCGCAAATTGCCATAAGCAGATTAATAAATGGGGGACTTCAAATGGTTGAATATTCAATTTGTAAACCAGTTCCACTCGATTTGTTTCCCTTGTTGGTTGTGATTCCATTTCAATCACAGAAAATGTGTCTGTTACATACACAAATGTACTTCTTGTATTTTCCCTCTTTCTTTTATGTAGAGTAAACCGATCCACAGAGTGGCGACTGGGCCTGCACTTGGCTGCCACATTGTGTGTTGTGCCCACGCCAAAGACTTTCCTTTTCATCGGACAGGGACTGAAACCAGTTCGGACCACACCACTTTACATTATTGTCCAGAGCTCCAGAGAGGGGACACATGACGCAAGGCAGGGCTAGACGCCCTTGGGCCCACCACAACTGCATTCAATCAGAGTGGATCTAATAAACGCAAAACCCATGGACAAATTGTCTGCGAATCACTGCCAGAGACAGTCTGAGACAGTCGGAGAAATAAATTCAAAGTGAAGACTTCCCGGGTGAAGAAGTTGTCAAGTGCAGAGAGAGGGGCCAGCAGTTTTGTCTTTTACATTTTACATTTTACATTATTTCAAGCTGTTGCTAAGTCGACAAAGTGAGCATGAACAGACATGTCGGAAGCAGTGGCGGGCGAAAAGGGGGATCAAAAGTTTACAACTAATTCACTGAAATTATATATATTGAAGATCTTCGCTTTGTAGAGCTTTGGAACTTCATTTATATTTTTAAAAGTTCTTTAACTAAATCTAAGTTCCCCTTTTGTAAAAATGTCTCCCTGCACCACTGCAAACATTTTACTTTACGGAACATATGGAACTGCATTACTCACACCACGCATTGTCAGACTTCTCTCCTCTCTTGATCCCTTCACTCTTTCGAGGGCTATTTTTAATACGCCAAGCCACATAATTCAATGTAATTTTTGCCCAGCCACAGCCCTTGCCTTTCTTACATTTTCCAGTTGCAGTTCTGTCGGAAGAAAGAACTGCCTGCAGGGAGTGGAGTGCCATGGGCCAATGCGCAATCTGCCCAGAAGTATCCGATATGCACACATGTATCTGAGCAGCTCTCTCTATCTCAGTATCTGCAGATACACATGTTTTCCTTTAGTCTCTCTCTCTCTTTCGCTCTCTCTCCCTTGCCGCATCTTTTATTGCGAAATGTTTTTTTCTTGGCATTTTCTCAATAAAACTCACCAAAAGTCCCCCAAATGTTTCCGACTTGCATTTCTCTAGTTTAATCAAACGTTTTGGCAAAGCAAATGCAAAACGGCACACAGAAAAATGAATCATCGGCTTCATAAGCCTTTGCTGAGGCAAACATATTAGTCACCAGCCAAATGAGGGAACCCATAAAATAAAAAAGAGTTTGACAGTGAAGCAAAGTCTAATAAAATAAAACAATAAAAAATGAGTGTTGTAATTTTAACAAGTGATGAAAGCGGCTGGTTATTAGTGACAAAAACCAAAGAAAAAAATAGAGAAGAAGTTTATGTATTGGAAAATTGTGGACAGATTATGCAGAGATATTGGAAACACGTTCGTAAAGCTCCTCTAAATGTGTGCCACGAAAATAAGACAAATTCAAATGCAAATTCTAGAAAGTGTAAGACTCACTCGTAGACCGAAACTAGTCTGTCGTTAAGCCACCATTTCAGTTGACCCTCTATTTTTTTCCCAGTGCATGACAATTGAGTCAACTTTTGTACGCTTTAAAACGAATTTAAACTTAATTAAAGCGACCTTTTGTGTCACGCACGTGTTGTTGTTGTGTGTGCGGTGGGGTGATGTGGTGTGGTGTGTGGTTGCCCTCCCACACAATTGAGCCACAGCCCAACCACACCCCACCATCATCGACCAACCACAGAAAAAAGCGAAGCGCAAAAAAAACATTCAATTCCATGGCTAATTTCATTGATGAATTTTTATTAAATAAATTATTATAATGAGGTTTAGCCGCTATGCGAGGAGGGTCCAGCAATTCCAGCAAAATTGCAAGCAAACAGAGACAGAGAGAGAGAGAGAGAAAGGTAAAACCAACAACAACTGTTTCTTGAGAACAGGGCGCGTCACACAAAGAGACAGAGAGAGAGAGAGAGAGATACAGAGACACCGAGGCGCGTGTTGGCACTTTAGCGGTTGTCCAAAATGAACCTGAAACTAGCCCTAGCCGGGGGGGTGGGCAGGGAGGGGAAACTGCCTCAAAACTTGTTCAAACAACAACTAACGCTGCTGCGAGTCGACGCTGTCGCTTCTTGGTTCTAAAAATAGTTTCAAAATGCAAACCAAAGTCGCCGTTTGCTCTCTGTCCATAAATAACTTGTCGGTGGGTTTTCGGTCTTCAACTTAATTGATTACGAACCAAAAGTCTGTGGCACTATAGTGTAAATATTTGAACAAGCCAATGCTACAGCCCATTACGAGCGATAAGACCCCAGCATAATGTGGAACCCTCCAGCGGGTAGCCACATTTGAACATAAAAAGACAAAAGTTTTTGTGAATGAATTCGAAATGTTTCAAATGTAAGGGAAAAAGTCAAGCGGGCGATAAGATAAGGTGGAAAATGTGTGTCTTGGGTCGAGTAGATTTTCTCATTGAGAAACTGTTTTACTACAAGTGGAAAGCGGTTGAAAATATGTGCGGTAAATCGATTTTTAGTGGGAGGAAATATTTATTGATAAAGTTATGGATAATATAGATCGGGTTTTAGGGGACTTTCGACATCCTATTATTACAAAATTCAAGGTGCTGCATAAAAACTGATCAAAACCTACTGGAAAATCCCCCCAAATGTAATAAAAATAAAAATAAAAATAAAAATAGTTGACTCACCTTTCAGTCTCGGATTCTGCATTTGGTTGCTGCTGTAGCTGTTGGATTTGCTGCTGTGTTGTTGCTGATGTCGATGTGGTGGTGGCTCCTCCTGTGGCTGCTGCTCCTGCCGCAGTGGTGGCTCCTGCCGCTGCTGCTGCTCCCGTTGTCGATTGGTCATCGGTCGTCAAGGGCAACACCACGACAGACGATGGTGTGGCCTCCACGGCAACGACGACATTTGGATTCGTTAGATTTAAATTACTATTATTATTGGCACTAACACTCGCGATATTTGTTGTGGGTATCTGTTGCTGATCCTCCTGCTGCTGCTGCTGCTGCTGGACAATCAATTGCTGTGCATCGACCATGGTCGCCGGTGCACTTTGCAGTTGCAGCGTGGGAATTACTGCTGTGGCGGCTGCTGCAACGGCTGCGGCGCTCACCGTGGCTGCCACAACTGTGGCTGGCTGCTCATAGCTGTGTGTCATGTGTGATAACAGTGGCAAGGTCACAGCCGCTCCTGCTGCCGCTGTTGTGGAAGTGTTTGAAGTCTGTTGTGGGGCAACTGTTGGTGCAACTCCCACTCCCGCTGCTGCTCCGGCTGCACCTGCAACGCTGGCTGGTGGGGCTTGTTGCTGAGGTGTTCCTGCCGCTGCCGCCTGCGGGTACTGCTGACTGCTGCTGGCTATGCCATCGATTTGGGACGTGGCCTGCGCCTGCCCAGCGGCTGCTGCCACTGCGGCAAATGTGGGCGTGATCTGTGGCGTTTGTGGCGCCGGCGACAGCGGCTCGCTCGCTGCCACAGCAATCGTTGCTGCCTGCGTGCCGCTGCTGTTATTATTGTTGCCTGCCGCAGCAGCATCGCCGCCATTCGGCTGGTAGCTCTGGTAGCTGGCACCAGACGGTGGCACATCCATGGCCTCCTCCCGCTGCTTGAGCTGTTGCAACGTCTGCTGCAGCTGCATGGCCGCCGCTTGGGCATAGTCCATCTGCGTCTCGACCGGGGGATTCGGGGAGCTGGCATTGGCATTGACGCTATCAAAGAGTTGCTGCTGCTGCTGCTGTTGCTGCTGCGCCTCCATATGCAGCTGATGCATGCCGTGCACCACGGTGGCAGGAGCAGTCATTACCCCACTGGGCGTGGCACTAATCTGGGACTGCTGATGCTGCGACTGTTGGTGCTGCTGCTGCTGCTGCGAGTGCTGCTGAAGGTGTTGCTGCTGCTGCTGTTGCTGCTGCTCCGCGGCGTAGTTCCAATTGGCATCCGTTGAATTGGCCTCCAAGTGATTCTCCAAGAGGGCATGGGTTGGCGGGAGTATCATGCTCTGGGTTGTCTTTTGTGCAGCATCCGCACCGCCTGCAGCGGCACCTGCGCCACCGCCGCCTGTTGCACCATCGCCGCCGACAACAAGCGCCTCGGAGGAAGAAGAGCCAGTCTTTTCGTTATTATTACCGCCCCCGCCACCCGCACCCGCACCCGCACCAGCACCACCACCGCCATTGCCCACACTCGAATGGTCCAGATAGTCCATGCACATCCAACGTCCGCGCTTGAACGGCTCCGTGGACTCTATCTTGACCACCTTGAAGCGTTCGCTGCGATGCTGCGTCGTCTCCTTGATGTTGTGGTCGCCGCCCTCCTTCTTCTTGCTGCCACCGGGCGTCACCGCCGAGTGGCTCACCACATTGATAATGTTATTATCCGTGGACACATTCACCTGCACATTCTGGATGGTCTGCCCGAGAGCAGCGGGTCCAATGGGATCCACGACGACGAGGCCGTACTGCGAACTGGTTGGTATCACCGGCGCATTGGTGCTCAGTGCATTGTTGGCATAGAAGACCTCCTCCTTGGAGAACGTGTCCTCCGACATCGAAGGCGTTTCGTTCTCCAAATCCGTTATCCGACTGTTGTCATCCGTGTGAGATTCGTCCAGATCGTCGGCCGACTCATCGCCAGTGTCGCCGGCAGCGTTCAGCTTCGGATGTCCCACCGTCACCGAGGTGATCTCGAATGAGGAAGTCGTCTTTGGTTTGCGTGTGGTTGTGGTTGTCAGCACAGCAGCGATGCCAGTGGCGGGTGCTGAGGAGCCCCCGCCGCCAGCTGCCACTCCTGCAACGGTCAGTGAGTGTCCTTGACTGTGGCTAGTGTGGGGCTGCGACTGCTGCGGCGACTGCTGATGTGGATGATGATGATGCTGGTGCTGCGAGTGATGGTGATGATGATGGTGGTGATGCGGCTGATGGTGATGCTGTCCAGCTGCAGCAGCTACCGTGCCAGCTCCACCGCCTGTTCCTGCAGCTGCTCCTGCTCCTGCTCCGGCTCCGGCTCCTCCTGCCGCTGCCATTGAGCGTGCCCCATTATTATTGGGCGAACTGGCCTTACCTCCGCCACCGCCACCGCCACCGCCACCACCGCTGCTGCTGCTCGCCTGCGACTGTTGCTGCTGCTGCGTGTGGCTGCTGCTGCCGCTGCCGCCACTGCTGCTGCTCGTCTTGGGTGCCACCGATGTCGATGTCGTGGTGGACGAAGCCAAGCTCGAGTTGCTGCCTGAGCGCGATGATGCCACTGTTCCTCCACCTGCACCACGGTTCAGCGCATTCAAGCGCAAACTCTCGCTGGTGGTGCGCTGCAGCGCTGCAACTGCCGCCGAATTGTTGCTGTTGCAATAATTGCGCTCTGGCAGCGCATTTATGTTGGGTGGATAGCACACGGAAAAGTGGTGATTGCTGGACAACGAATTGACCTTCGTTAGCTTACGCATGCTGCTACCGCCAGTGCCCACTGTCACGCCCCTTGCGCTGGACATCAGCGAGTTGCGGCGTCCTGCGTGCGGATTATTTCCGCCGCCAGTGTTGCCTGTGCCCGGCTTGAATTTGGCATTCACCGTGCGATCGAACATGTTGCTGCCGGTTGTGAGTGTTGCGGTTGCAGTTGCAGTTGCGACTGTTGCTGCTGTGGATTGCTGCTGCTGCTGCTGCTGCTGATGATGTTGTCGGCGTATCCCAGCCGTCGAGGGTAGCGCTTCCTGTGAGTTGTTCTCCGGTGATGAGGCCTGAGAGTTAGTAGGCGATTGATTGATTGATGTTTGGCCAGCAGTATTTGCTGTTGTTGTTGTTGTTGTTGTGCTGCTTGCGGTTGCCGCTGTGGTTGAATGATTGACTGATTGCTGCTGTTGTTTCTGTTGTTGACCGGAATCTTCGCTGGCCGCACTTTGATTCTCGGCCATAATCGAATTGGATTTCAGCGTCCGCAAAGTTTTTAGCAAATAATCCAGGATTGCTAGCGATTCTTGGATTATTTGGTGCCACGAAAGAAATTTATTTATTAATTATACTTAGTGGAAAAATTTGTTTTTCCTTTTAATTGTTTTGTCAGTAGCACGCTCGGAAATTGTGCTCTACTTATTATTACAATTTGAATTATTGTTTGTTTTGGTTTGCTGTCAGTTTGAAGAGTTCTCCCGCCAAATTGTTGCCAGCTTCTTCGTGTGTGCTTCGACGATTACGATGCATCATAGCGCGCTCTTAACGGTTGCGCTTTCAGGTGCAACCCAGTGTCAACTGATCCCGAACCGAAACGAACCGCCCACGTACAGGGACACGACGACGGCGGACACGACACGACGGCGACACGACACGAAGGCAACGCTCGACCGACCGACCGATCCGACTTTGAAACGCGACACTTTTGGTTGTCTCTCTCGCTCTCTCTCCCACTTAGGGACGTTAAATTTCTTTTGTTGGATTAAATAGATTGAAATTGATTTAAAGTGGGGGGAGACCTTTCCGCGTTTTATGCGCCGCAACAACAACAAAAACAACAACTAGGGTTTGGGCTGACCACAAGAATGGCATAGTCTGGAGCGCCATCAAGCGCTTCAAGTTTGCACACACGGCACACACACACGCGTCCGCCGCCGCCGCTGCCCACACATGCACAGCACAGCTGTTCCGTATTGATGGTATTCGCGTAGTTGATGTTGCACGGATTTTTTTTTGTTATTTTCGGTTATTTCGGTATTTTTTGTACACTCTCCAAACTGCGACTTAAAATTATTTTCAATTTTATTTACGTTAAGGATGGGGCTTAGATTTTAGTATCGATTTTAATTATTTATTTTAGATTAAATATATTATTTATAATTAATATTTTTTTAGTTGCTGCTGCACTTTTATTTTTGTCACACACTGTACATTAGTTCCGTTTGACTTGGAATATTTGTTGTGGGTTTTATTAAATTTTTTTGTTAGCGCTTTGGTTCTCTTTTATAGTGGAATTATTCAATTTCTTCGGCTTCGTTTTACTAGCACATTGCAGTAATTGTTAGAAATGATATTCCTGTGGAAATAGAAGCGGAGAAATGGTAATCAGCATTATAATTCAATTTCAATTAACAACACACATAAATATCACTTTCTCTATATTATTTGTTTATCAAATTAAATGCAAAAGGCGGCGACGTCGCTAAGCCGCTAAGAAGCGGCAGCACATAGATAAATATTTGCACCCGTATAACGCAGCGAATACGTAATACACTAGGGAATGGGATAACTAACAAGGAGTATATGGGTCACAGGGTGCGCTGGTTGCTCACCGTCCCCTTTTGGATTAATTAAAAATATTTGAATGGGGACTGTAACGGAATATTTAATTTTGTAATTTAATTTTTTGCTCCCATTTTGCAAAATGCAATTTGCAGTTAAATTAGAATTTGGTAAATGGGTCATAAAATAAGCAATAATAACACACATGGCAGTGTTTAGACGTTATCTTTCCTTTAGCCAAACAAATTGTTCTAAACTATTATAATTTAAGCAGCTTTCTAGTATCAAAGATCACAGGCCTTATCTGCTTATCAATTTATACGTTAATCTACCTATTGAATGTTTGTCTGTCTGTTTCTGTCGGTCTCTTTCAACTTCAATGCACTTTCCTATATATTTTTTCTCTCCATCCTCTTTCGTTCTATTCAATATCTTTTAATCCATCAATCCAATTAGCATTCTTTAAGATTTAATCTTTGCACCCCCTTTGGCAATCGCAACCCAATCCCCATCTGTATCTCACTCATGTGGGGGGCATTCTCTGCCAAGTATCTTTTTCCACGCGCAGCATCTAGTTAGATTTCATAACTGCGTAGTTGATGTTCGCTTATCATCATTATCATCCCATTCATGATGATGCTTTTGTGTGTTTTTCATTATTTTTTTTGTATTATTATTGATTTCATTGAGTTGTCTGCCAGTCCATCCGTCGGAGGGTACGGCGTAGTTTTGTTGAATTAGTTAAGTGCTACATTAGAAGGCAGCAAGACTGCTCTTCCTTCCCAACCGATTTGTTTGTCTTTAATAACTTTTTGCAAAAAAACGAAGAAACAAAAAATTTCCCTGCACTCTTCCTCTTGTTATTTATTTTTGCATTTGCAATTGAGTATTCCAATATTTATTTTCCTTTCGGCATTGATTTTTTTTGCTCCTACTTACTCATTATTTAATCGATTTCGTTTACGGAAATCAGAAATGAGAGGGGCCAGGCACCCAACGGAGAGGGTGATGGAGAGAGAACGAAAGAGTTAAAGGCAGTGCAAAAAACCAGAAACAACAGGAGGAAACGACTATGAGATGACCTACAATTCAGATGGTTTTAGTTATAATAATATTAGACTTAGTTTGGCACAAACAGACATGGAACTTGGTACCAGTGTTGGCTTGATTAGATATTCAAAAATATTCAAGGAAATAATAATCTATCAAAAACTTTATTTTCCTACTGCCTGTGCCCAACGGGGACCTAAAACAAGTACACCCTTTCCCACCCACTAATTACAGGGTGCACGCACCGAAAACGAAGTTGCCAAAAAAGTTTTGCAAACATTTTCAGCCACACGCGCCTGCCTGTCCGTGCGTATGTGTGCGTGCGAGTGCGAGAGAGAGCTCTGCCAACTGTGCACTTGTATGGGTTAATAACCGTAAGCTTTGACGATCATTCATAAATTGCGTGGACTGTTTAGCAGATTGGATTGTCTGCATGTGTGTGTGCTGAACTCTGCGTGTGCCCTGCCAGAAGGCAACAGTCAAGACCTTGACGTTGCTCTTTTTTCTGTTCTCTCCTTCCATAATTTATTTTACCTATTTGCCTAATCGAGTTATAAACGACGCAAAAAAAAACGACAAAAGATTGCTTTTTGGTGGGTAGCGAAAAGAGAGGCACAAACATTAAGCATATTCCAGTTATAGGTCAACATTGGTCGTAGCACTCTGTCAAGGTGGATATTTTATTTTTTGTGTCTTACTTATTCGTGTGTGGGTCTGGGTCTTTGCTGGCTCTCATTTGAGAGTCTACTGGCCTTGTTCTTTGGCAGCACAGGTGTTGCGAACTGTTTCAACAGCTAAAGAATGGCGAAATATAGTTCCCGTTTGGAAGTTTAAGTTTGGTACTCAAAAGTTTGGATTGGATTGTAGGGTTTTGAATTTACAAAAGAATATTTCTGTAATACTTTGGCTGTTTTGTAGCCATTTAATGTCTGAGCTTCAAGTCCATAATTGGCCACAAAAACCCCACATAGATAACAAAACATTGGTTCCAATACTAGTTCTAGTTATATTACGCGTAGAGGAATTTCTAAGAAAAAGCAACATTTTAACAGGGGAACAAATCCGATACAAATAAGTGAAACTATACTCAGAGACCTCATCTAATGGAAGTACCTAAAGAAGTGACTAAAAGTTTACCAGTAACTTGATTCAACTAAAGAGCCAAATAGCTTCATTAAAAGTCAAGCTTTACTTTTAACAGTTTTTTCCCATGCACTTTTTACTCTCCATACACCAGAGAACCTATCCTCCTCGTCATCATCTTCTCGCCTATTCAAAACTATTAAAAGTGGAACCGATAAATATAAATCAACTGCGCTGTCGCCCCCTCTCTGTCCTTTCGCACACCTTTGCTGCTGCTACTGCTGCTGTTGCTCCTCTCTTGCTTTCCTCTTGCCAACCCACATTGAGAACTACCAATAATCAAAGTATCGTTGTATTTGTTACCAGATTGTCCACACACACACACAAACACACTAAAAACACACCTCAGCAAAAGGTAAGGAGTGCAGAAGGTGCAGGAGATGGAGAAATTCTGCTGCGGCTCCACCGCTGCCCTGCCTCAACAGCAGTGAGCAGTCAGCCAGAAGAGAAGAGTGCCATATGAGAAAGAAAAATGTGAACTAAAAGTGCAGACAAGAAAACGAGCAACAGAACAAGAAAAAGAGAACTAATTGCAACGACAAAAGCATAAAATCGATGAAGCGCCAACAACAACAAATACTAGCACAGGGAGACAGACAGAGACCGCGCGAGAGAGAGAGAGAGAGAGAGAGAGAGCAAGCGAATGCGCGTTAAACAAATTGCAATAATTGTGCTCACTCTCTCGCGCGGAGAGAGCAGGCAGCAAGAACCAAGTGAGAGGCAGCCTGTTGGGGCCGCCTCGCTCTCCTGCTCAACCTTTAGTGGGCGCCTACAAGTGGGTGGGTAGGGGGGCGGCAGGCAGCATACGAAAAAGAAAAACAACAAAAATTTGCAAAGGGAGCGAGCGCATATGAACCCGAAGCGAAGCGGAGCGGCGCTCTCTCTCTCTCTCCGCTGCCTGACGTTCTCTCTGTGCGAGGCAGAGGAAGAAGACAGCTGCCGGTAATCAATATTGATGATGATAGCAGCGCAGCAGCAGAGGGCAGCACAGCAGCAGCAGCCAAAGAAGATAAAAAGCAAAAGGGAAAAGGTCAAAATGGTACAAAGAGAGAGAGAGGGAGACAGCACAAAAGAAGCAGAGACAAAAAAAACGACAAAAACAATTTAATTAAGCTCAAAGAAGGAAAATAGGCAAAGAAAAAGGTCCACCCAATACCCACCGCATACCAAGCTACTACACCAAAGGAAATGAATCACACTGCAAAAAAAAGGCGTTGTAAGAGGAAGTAGAAGAAACGAAAGAAGTAGACACGAGAGAGATGGCTAGAGCGAGAGACAGACATGCAGAGCGACTGAGAGCAAAGCAATGAAAATGTTTATCAAACGAGCAGAGAGGCAGTGGGCAGAGTCAGCAAGAGATTACAATGACATTGCATCCATGAGATACGCCATGAGGCACACTCAGATACAATTTCCAAATCAAATACAACTTTTCAATTCAATTGAGTAGCAAAATGTGGCACACACGAAAAGCCCGAAGAAAGAACGTAACATAAAAACAAACTAAACAAATTAAGAAAATTAAATCAGGAAAATCTACAGAAGGGGATTTGATGGGGATTCGGAGAGATTCATTAATAATGCAGCAATATTTATATTTAATGTTTATTTACTTTGTATTCCAGTTCCACTTCTAGCTAGTTTAATTGTTCACTTTTACTTTTCTCTCCAATTTCAATCATTTATTTCTACTCTAATATCTGCTCCTAAGGGCTTGATAGTCATTGTAAATAAAGTAAATAAAGCCTTCCTATAAAATTAACCCACTCAATTCCTACTCAAATTCCCTCAAACATAACAATGCATATTGTTGATATCTCAACCTAAATTACTTGACATCAAACAATCGTTTGGAAGGGCACAAGGGTGTGAGGGCAAGGGTAGACGTGACTGCCTGCTCACACTCAAAAAAACTTTCGCTCTCTACAACCCCAAGACAAAAACCAAATCAAAATTTGATATTGAGTAACATCATGCAGGGTCCAGAATTAAAAAAAAAATCTCTGGCCACAGTTTATTAAATGTTGCTGTGCTAAGCACATTTTGAAAATTTTAATACACGAACTGAACCCAAGAATAAAGATCTTGCCAGGCAGCAATGTTATTTCTCTTTTTTTTTGGATTGATGAAATTGAACCCGTTCATGATTGTGTTTTTGGGAGGGATAGAATCCTGAAGCTCAAGGGCATACAGAGAGACATGCAGATTGGAGGCTAGAGTAAGTGGAGTGGAAGAACAGGTTCTAGTTTTAGGATTCTCTCTGAAGGCATTCCACTGAGCTAGGCACTCTTTTTTGTATGAAAAGTATCATATTTTAAGGTTGAATATCACACTGAAGAATGTCTGCTAAACATTAAAGATCTAGCAAAGATATTACAGAAAATCCAAAATTAAATTAAATTTTTAAAATGGTTTTTTAGCCCTTCCCAATGCGTATCCATAAGAATTGTCATGTTTGAAAAAAATTCTGAACAATTTCTTATTAGATGAAAAAATTGTTGTAGAATTGTTGTCCACATAAAAATAGTGCAGGGTAGTGGGTGGGGGGTAGGGGGTAGAACAGCTGACGTTATAAACAAAAAAGGAAGAAATGAAAACAACAAAAATAAAGAGTGAAGTTACTCAAACGATGTGACAGCTGTTTAGGTTCCATCTTAATCAGCTACAAATATGCTAGGAGACCTTATCTTATTGCTGCCAAATGAATATTTGGTTTGAAGATAATCCAAGCCCACCCAGAAGGCAGTTTCTAACTATTTCTGATTAAAATCGATGGAATACGTAATATATGGGAAACACTATCGATCTGTTAGGGCATCACGAGATTTGGATTCCAAAGCCAGACCTTTTTTTTCTTTTTTTACTTGCTTTGTTTGTTTTGTTGCTGTTTTTCCTGCTTTTGTTGTTGTGATTATGCTTTTTATTGTTGTTGTTTTTCTGCCCTTTGTTGTTCTTTCTGCTTCTTACTTTTTTTCTTCTGCCTTCTGCTGGAAATCAGAATGGAATGGAGGGAAAATCTATAGCAAAGGCTGAAATAACGGTGCAAAGTGCAATCACAGCAGACGCAGCAGCAACAACAACAAAGCGAAAGTGAACGAATTTGCAGAGGCAGAGAGAAGACGCGGAGGATGAAGTCCAGCAAAGGATGGGCAGAGACACTCACACACACACACGCACGCACAGAAAAGTCACTCTACTTCTCTCTCTCTCTCTCTCTCTCTCTCTTGCGGTGGATTAAGTGGATTAAACACGTTTATTATATAGTAAAACTATTTTTTTTCATTGCTTGACAGCTTTGCGGCTATTTAAACCAATTTTTGTGTACTTTTCATGCCGTTTCCCCATGGGGTTTGCTTTTTAGATCGATTTGTGGCACTGTGCGGCAGGCAGCAAGCAGCAAGCAGCAACGGCGGCGACAGTGGCGGCTCTCTTTATCTTTCACTCTTTTACAGTTTTTCGTTGAAACTCACACGAATGGGCACACACTATGCTTAACTGTGACTTCCGCTTTCCTTAATAGTTTAAAACAAATTGAATTTTTGCACAGAATTCAGTTGTATATTTTTTCTCGGTTGCGCTTTGCGTATCGTACAAAAAGAAGGTAAATGACAGTTTTGACAGTTGGCTCTGGCAGAAACCCGAGAGAGAGCGCAGTCAGAGTACGAGAGAGCAAAGCGAGTGAGAGAGAGAGAGAGAGCGAAGCAGAGAGCGCATTAAATAAACGAAAAAGCGTGCAAAAAATATTGCAAAAAAAGGTGAGCAACTTAAGGGTTAATGCGGGGAGACGGGAAAAGCACTAAAAACAACAAATTCAACAAAACTTTGCAAAACGTTTTTTTCCTCTGCCTCCGATTTTCTAGCGGCTAGCACACACACACACACACACACAATTGGAAAGAGAAGAGGGGGTCTTTCTCTCTCTCTCCTGCAATTCCGGCAATCAATTCCATTCCCCACCAATTTTTTCGCTTCTTTCTTCTGTCACAATTTACTTTAGCTCTGTTTAGCCTTTAGGCGCGGCGCTCTCTTTTTCGTTTTGCGAAATAAATTAAGTTTTCAGCCGTATATAAATTTTCCATCAGTGCTTTTTGTGCTCCGTTTCTTATTCATTTAAACACGCACACACGGCCAGCTAGAGCCCACCATCGCGAGCAGCACACACATGCACAGAGAGCCAGCGCACACGTCACACTCACACACTCACGTAAACGCACATACACAGTTTTTTTCTTCTATACGTTTTGAGCAAACAAACCACTTTTATTCAATTATTTGATCAAACACGCTTAAGCGCGATTTAGCTTATATTGTTACGAATATGTTTTTCCGTTTTACCGTCGGCCTTTGCGGTATTCTTGTTGCTATTTATCAATAAATTTTTTTCACCTTGAAATTTTTACAGCCATCAGCGGGCCATTTGCAACACTTTTCCTAAGGGTGGTAAAAATATAACTAACCATCAATATATCGATATTTTATAGATTAAAAATATTTGTATATCGTGATGTATTTTTCTTCCTTCATCTGAACTGCTCCGAAATTATTCAATATTCACATTTTCGGCTGTAATTCTAACTCTAATTTATTTCTCTAAGGTATTTACGATATATTTTAAATATTGAAATAATACATTGCTGATGAAGTTCAGTTGGCTCAACTGTTCCAAAACAGTTGGCAACCTATTCAAGTACACCACAGGCCTGTTATACGCGTGAGTACGTCTTCTCGTCAGAAGGTGGCGCTTTCAAACAAAAAATGAAGCATAATTTTGAGTGGCTGCAGCAGTTCTCGGGCGAATTTAAGAGTTCTCTAATAATTAATTATTATTATATTGTTATATTGATTAAAATACAACATTTTTCCACACCTAAAATCATTTGCAATTCTTCAGCTGGAAGTGATGGTCGCATTGAAGCAATGTCGAATGCTCATTCCTATTACAACGATGGATTGAGATTTTATCCGTTTATTCGGCAATCAGTCAATCCAAATAAGTAAAACAACAAAAATGCCAAAAACAATTTGCTCCACCGAAATCGCAGTGGGTACAATCCCCGACACTTGAATTTCCCTTTCTTTGAAGTCTCTGCCATCGATTCAATGTCAAAGCGGAAAAGAAATCACGCTAATGATCAGGGGATCTCGAACCCTCCACCAGCTAAGACTCAGCCAGCCACACCCACCCACACAGGACATCACACCACAACGCACTGTGGCCCTTGACCAGTCCCGTCTGCGCTGGAACGTGTCCTGGATTAGAATTAATTCCTTTGACCAACCCCCGCAGGAGTCGCCTTTTTACGGGGCATGCAACACCCTCGCTGGCAACAGGGATACATCTCATTTAAATTGCAAGTCGAGGAAAAAAAACAAAGACCAAAAGCGACAAATGCCAAACAGACGCCTCAAGGTCCCACTCCCCCGCCACCACCATCCGAAAGTGAGGATTTTGCCGGACAGTGCTGGCTGCGTAATTAGTGCATTTGCAACCCTCGTTAAAATGCGGGGACTGGCCTCCTCCACACCTACTGCAGCCCTGGCAGTCAGTCAAGCGAATGCCTTTGCCCCCCACACCAAGCTCCTTGTGGGCATTTTCTTTAACAATTTCCATTTGATTGCATTTTCCGAAGCGAAAGAGAAAATGTTTCCTTGAGCATTCATTAGGGTGGTGGCCCGTCCTGAGCTTAACTGTCATTTCCATAAAATGCCCCCAACTCTCCCATTGACCATGGCTTCAGGGCAGAGCGAGGAGGCTGTCTGTGTGCTCTCCCCCACCCACCCACACACACACACACACACACACACACACACACACTCTTGTGGCATATGCAAAACTTTCTCGTTTCATTTGAATTTCCTTCCTAGCCACCACCCATTTCGTTGCCCATAATTATGAAGATGAATGTTCTTATTGCTTTTATATCCTCTTTGCGTGTGTGTGTGTCCCTGTCTGTGTGTGGCTTAGTGTGTGTGTGCCTGTGTCAGTGTAAGTGTAGCTGCCGACATTCTCTATTAATAATGCTCTCAGTCACACTCTGCATACACGTTCGCTTGAATTTGTTGCCATTCGGACGGGGCCCGGTACTGTTGGAATTTTGTTTGCGGTTCGAACAGTGGGTCGGGTTCGATGATAAAAGGGCAATAAGACCGCTAAAATGTCACAGTTGGCTACATACGACATTCATAACTACCTGCAATATATTTGTTCTGCTATAAGCCTCTTTCGGTTAAGGGAAATTTGTATATCCACATAGGATCACTTCCATTTCAACTTTGAATATTAACTTTGTATTTGTTTCTTATTTTTAATGGCCATATAGATGGCCCTATGCCTTCTAGTAGCTCGAGGAGCCATCGAAGTGTCAAACAATTTTCGTTCCACTGTGCCTCAAGCGAAGCGCGTGCACCGTGCGGTCGCCGGCTGCCCATTCCCTGCCTCTCTCCGTCATCCTACCACGCATCTTGGTCCCGCAATAATAAAGGAAAATCCGACAGGATGCTAATGCGTATTTAGTTATTTAGTTTATATATATGTGTGTGTGTGCATGCATGTGTATATGTGTGTGTGTGGTGGGAGAGGGAAAATAAAAGCAAAAAAAGAGTGGGGAGCAACACTAAGGACCTCGCTCGTCCGCCTTTATGTTTGTTTTACGCTCTCATGTGTGGTGTGTGCGAGTGTGTGTCAGGGATGCAAAAATATATTTGCATATTATCGATTTCTCTCCTGCTCCTGGAATGGCAGGGAAACACTGGATACAGGAATAGAAAAAAATAGCACAAATAATACAAATAAATTCTCATTCGAGTAACAACATAGAAAATTGCGTAAGAGTTCAAATATGTTTCTGTTATGTTTCTCCTTGGGACCAATTCTCTACACCCTAGATACGACATGCCAGCTACAAAGGCCACAAGCACATCTATAAACGAAGCTTCCGAACTCCTGCAGAGTGAGCTCAGCCTAATTGAAGACTGGTTCCTTCGATGGACAATTAGAATCAACTCCCTGAAATCCGTCCAAATAACGAAAATCAGAAACCACTTTGGAAAACAAAATTCGCCTCTACAAATCCATACTTGGGGGAACTGCTAGCCACTCAAATATTGAGACACTTCAGCGTTACCAATCAAAAACTTTGCGACACATTGTCAATGCTCTGTTTTACGTACCTAATGCAAACATCCACAAAGATCTGAATATTCCAACCATTAAAGAAGAAATAAAGAAAACTAGTAAGAAATACATCGACAGACTCCACAACCATGAAAATAATTTAGCCTTAAGTCTATTAGACAATAGCCTAACAGTAAGAAGACTGAAACATTCTCGATCTCCCCGATAGATAAATCCAACAAACTGTAAAGATTTTATATATAATAGCAGGGCTCCTTGGAAAACTGCTATTTCTGTTGATTTAATATTAATTATACAATTTACTTATTGTTTAAAAAAACAGAAAAAAATATGACAATTATAGAAAGTTTCTAGCGGAGGTTCTTAAAAACATTTTTCAGAAAGATTTAACGTCGGTAAATAGTAGGAAATAATGAAGTGTGCCTAAAACCATCGGTGAAAAACGCAACGTGCCATTGCCCTAAGTAGCTTTTAGGCTTAGCGAATAAAACTTAAACCGATGTAAACAATTTGTTTTTGAAATGAAAGCAGAAATTTGAGACTAAATACAAAATACAAAATCATTCGAACACAACATGGAGCAGATCCTTGGGCGAGTCCTTTGGCGTAAGCGGATTCCAACAATTTAAATAGAATACATTTTTTTTTGGGCTTCAGAGGGCAAAAATTTCAAACAGGAAAACCGAAACGAGCATGCCCAATGTCCAATGTCCAATTAGATTTTTGGGCAGGGGCCGAAGAATTTTCCAACCCACCCTCCCAGAGATTTTTCCTCCGGTTTTTGCTGCGTGGGATTTTTGAACAGCTGCCGAAGCGTGGTGGGTGGATCCACCTACACACAACTACGCAGGAAAAGGAGTCACGGAGAGAGGGAGAGTGAGTCTACAAAGGCAGAAATTATGAAAAGTAATGAACTGTAACACGAATTGCCATTGCAAAGGAGAGCCATGAGGCGAGGGAAAACGTTTACCCACAAAAATAACATTCATAAATAAATAAATAAATAATATTCTTTGACAATTTGGCAAACAGAATAATAATATTTTAGGGGGCACGCAGGAATGCCATTGCAAAATGATTTAAGGACATGCTATTTTTCGTAAACAAAAGAAACAGAAGAACATTTTAAGATGTTACGGAATTTATTTATGTGCCTATCGAACCATTAAAAATATGTAAAAAAAGGTCTCGTTGTAGAGTGTTTTACATCCTTTAGACACTCGCTTAAAATAGTTATAATAAATTGTTAAAAAGAGTCAGTCCCAATATATTTCCTGCATGAATACAATTTGCAAACATTTAATGTTAGATATTTTTCCATTCCAGCGCCAAGTTTTTCACAGGAATGAAAATATATTCCTGATGTCACAAAATTAAGGAAAATTCCTCATTTATGCCACGACTTTTTTCCATTGCAACAGCAATTTATTTCAGTACCTTCTGTCCAACAGGACACCATTAAAACATCGACCAGAAAATCCCTAGATGGCAATTTTTGCTCCGTTTTTTCTGGTTGCAAATGCAGCTGAAACTTCCAAAATATATCCCCGGGCTCAACGTAAATAAATCTTGCAGCTTTGCCAAGGAATTTGTGTATGCGAAATGTTTATTTTTATGCGAATAAAATCACATGGAAATAATGGAAAAGCAATTTCCATTTGCACGGGGGAGCGGGCCCGAAGGCAGACAATTCCCCAGCAGCGATTTGACCATTAAAATTATACCCACAGGACGATGGCCAGGCATAAAAAGTGGAGGTAGAGGAAGTGCTGAGGGGGAGGGACTGAGACTGGGACTGTCTCCGGCTTGAATATGAAATCGTTTGGAAATGTTCAACGACCCAATTGGACTGCACAGAAAGGCACAGGCGAAGATGTTTGAAAAGAGTTTTGTTGTCTTTTCCTTTTTTGGATACATTTTCTTTTCGTTTTGTTGGCCACATTTGTGTTCTCGTTAACTTCTTCGGAGGGGGAAAACGCAGAGGCGTGTGCCTCGGGAAACTCTCTCTTTCTCTCTGTCTCTCTGGAAGGGAACTTGCTTACGTGTTGGTTGGTAATATTTTAGAAACTAATGTGACATTTCGATTATTCGATTGGATTTAATGTGTTTTATGAGTTTTACACGCTCCAAACGTTGCCGCAAAACGGGTGGGGCGAAAGTGATGACAACTGAGGGGGGGCGTAGTGGTGGAGCGGCACAAATGGTTAGGCCCTGTCATTGCCTTGATTCAGAGATAAATGTCAGAGGCGTGGAGGACACTCAGAGCAATAAAATGGAGGGAGAGCTTTGGTTGGTTACTCTCGGCTGAAAAGAGTTT